AGAACTAGCATCTGTTGCACAAAATACATAATCTTCTGCACAAAAATAGTTTTTATGCACAATTATGGGCATATCCACACTATACAATTATACCACTTTAATATGACATTAACTGTCATGATTCCAACCTAGAGAATTCTTGGATTTGTGAGGTCTCAGTATTCTCTAGAAGAAAACTCTAGTGATGTAGTTCAGGGACATGCACTAGAGAACTTTAAGTACTTTCCCAAAGTACAAATCCCAGAATTCTGTGAGTTCCAGCAATGGCAGTTAAAGTGATCTCAAACTATTATAATTTTCCAGTGCAGATGGACCCTTTTTTCCATAAAGAAATTTCATAATGCAATAACAACTCATGGCAATTCACCATCGATGGGATGTCTAATAGTTGGAGGCACCCTTTCTCCAATTTGCAAGTACACATTACATTGCTATCTTTTATACATTCAACTCATCAGTAGAGTAAAATGTAGTAGTAAAGCTCCATAGTAGTAAAACAGCCCCTATACTCACTTTATACTTTATATTGATGTGTTTCCTTTCTCCTTTATACAGTTCTCCATAGGGTATTCCTATTTATTATGGACTTGTCAGAAATACTACTTTGCATTTTCTCTGACAACCTAAACATCCTACTACAAAGAGTGGGATGGAGCTGACTGCTGTACTATTTTCAGATTCAAATGCCTTGATTTGGTAAATAAAAAGACCATCAATTTGACTGGTACTTATTGAACAGATGTTACTCTCCCCACATCTCATTCTCTAGGATATATAACTTATAGGTACTGAGAATTGTATAGTATTTTATTTGGAAATAATGTTGTTAGAAATTGAGTTTTCTCCCTTCTGAATTGCCTATAAAAATATGAAGTAATAATCAAAGAATAAAGCTTTACAATACTTTCGCATGGTCTTCATGTTTCTTGAATGTTGGCAGGGACGTGAAGGAAACTTGTCTTGGTGAGATTCTAGGTGGGACTGTCTATGTCAGCTCTACAAAACCATGTCTTAATGATCTTTCAGCCCCATTCAGATATCTCCTCCTGCACACAACCCAAGATAAAATGTTTTTCCCCTCTCTTGGTTTCCACAATGCCTATAATACACTTTGGGCAGTGGCATCACTAGAAAGTATGAGGGGTGTGGACTGCACCAGGTGACACCCTGATGGGGGGATGACACCACTACTCCTCAAGCATCTGCCTTTGAGCAAAAATGGGCTGTGGCATTTGCTTGTGTACCTTTAAAATGCTGAAGAGAGTGGGGTGAGGCTTAGTGGGAGGAGAAAGAAGAGGCTCCAGTTTTTTTAAAAAAAATTTAAATGTTTAAATTTAATTTTTAATTTAATAATTTTAAATTTTCTTTAAAAACATCACATTTTCCTTTCAACCACATGAAATTATGTATATGTACATGCATTTAGGCTATGCATATGATATGGTAATTTAAAGGTATAATTTTAGTTTTGCTAATTGATTATATCAGAACTATTTCCATTACCTTCAGTAATATACAGGAATTACAATTAATGAGTAACATTAACACAAAAAAAAAAACATTACTAAGGATTCTGTATGATGTGGTATGGGAGGTCAATGGGGGAGTGACACCATGAGTTACTGCACCAGGTGATGCCAAACCTAGTTCCACCACTTACTTTGGACAAAACTTTTGTCTCTGCACAAAATTAATGTCAGCACAAACAGAATTGGCTGACTGATTAAAAAGCAACTCACCCGATGGTACTATTTTTACCAGCCCTTACACACACACACACACACACACACACACACACACACAAAGTAGTTATCACTTTTTACTATTATATGCATTTTACAGAAATGTACAAAAACCAGTCTTGAAAAGTATTTCTGATTTCAAGGAAATTTACCATCTCATCATGAAGATGGTTTATTTTTTTCATTGTCTTGTTTATCAAGCAAGGGTGGAAAAAAATGTATGACCAGGATCCCTTATCACAGTGTATGTTACATAACTTTGTGTATATTTAGCTACATAAGAAGTTAAGGTGCTAAGAAACCCTGTTAATGAATTGCAAAGATGCTTAATGGAACACTGGCAAGAGGGTCCCAATGTACATTGGCACTCCCTAGCTAGTGCATAATGGAATCAGTGGACAATGGGACTGGCCCTCATTGATCCCAATGCTTATTATTATTATTATTATTATTATTATATCAACATCATTTTATATCCTGACTTTCTTCCAATATAGGGACTCAAGGCAGTGAAAAACTGGTATAAAACAATACAATTTAAAAACAGTACAACAATATTAAAATGTATAAATATTAAATTTAAAAAACAATTTAAAAATTTAAGAGTTAAACAGTTATAAATTAAAATATAGCATGTTAAAATACAAACCATTAAAGTTATATCATACAACATTAAAAACCCAGTCCTTATCAGTTTGCAATGGCCTGCCAGCACAAGAATGTCTTTATCTGCTGCCAGAAGGACAGCAGGGATGGCGCCATCCTGGCCTCCCTAGGGAGGGAGTTCCAAAACTTGGAAGCAGCCACTGAAAAGACCCTCTCTCTTGTTCCCAACAAACACACCTGAGAGGGTGGTGGGACAGAGAGAAGGGCCTCTCCCGATGATCTCAATACTCTGGGGGGCTCATACAGAGAGATACGGTCCTTTGAATAGACTGGACCAGGGCTTTATAGGTTAAAATCAGTACTTTGAATTGTGCCCAAAAATGTACTGGCAGCCAATAATAATAATAATAATAATAATAATAATAATAATAATAATAATAATAAATATATCCCACCCCTCTGCAGTGCAATCAGGGTGACTTACAACATTAAAATTTCCAGACAGCTATATTAATACAATCTATGGAGCTGTTGCAACAAGGGAGTTGTATGCTCTCTGTAGCCACTTCCAGTTAACATCCTGGCTGCAGCTCTTTGGACCAGCTGAAGTTTCTGAGCACTTTTCAAAGGCAGCCCCACCTAGAGTACATTACAATAATCCAGATTGGATGTAACCAAGGCATGTACCACCATGGCCAGATCTGACTTCTCCAGGAATGGGCGCAGCTGGTGCACAGATTTTAGCTGTGTGAAAGCACTCCTGGTCACCACTGATATCTGGGTTTCCAGGCTCAGTGCTGAATCCAGAAGTACCCCCAAACTCCAAACCTGAGGGGGAGTGTAACCCCGTCTAACACAGGCTTAACCCCTATTCCCAGATCTGTCTTTCGACTGACCAGGAGCGCCTCTGGATTAAGCTTCAATTTGTTTGCCCTCATCCAGTCCATTACAGCAGCAAGACACTGGTTTAGGACAGAAACAGCTTCCTTGGAATTAGGTAGGAAGGAGTGATAGAGCTGGGTATCATCAGCATACAGGTGACACCTTACTCCAAAACTCTGGACAACCTCTCCCAGCAGTTTCATGTACACAAGGACAAGCATCAAAACTACATAAAATAATATAAGAGGCAATATTTGGTAAATCTAAATGGATAATAATTGTTTGGGAGTCAGATTTGGGAATAAAAATAATGGAAAAACAATGGGATTCACTTGGCGAAATGCCACCCTATAAATCAGTATGTCCCAAATTCAGAGAAAATGCATTACAATTATTCCTAAATATTATTACTATCCACTCAACCTCACAAGATCAATAATTAAGGGTCAAAACTGTGTTAGAGCTGTTGTTGTGACAAAATAAATCATTGGAATGTGATTAACATGTCCAAAAATATGTAGATTCTGGGAGGAAGGATTAGGATGTATAAATTAAATGTTGGGACAAAAAGCATTAATTTCTATATTCAAAAGTAAAAATGCAAACTTGCCAAACAAAGACCATTGGCACTTACATTAAGTGCTGCAAGGCTAGAACTATCTAAAGGATACATGTAAAGTAAGAAAAATTAACATATAAGGTAAGAATAACAAGAGTGGACATAAAAGAAGATATGTTTGACAGTATGTGGAAGCCATTTATTGCTTATATTATTGAAGGCAATAATGGACCTAATCCTCCTTTGGATCAAGAGAGATTTTGGAAAAATTAGTATTGAAGTATATATTAGTATATATTATGATTAATATATAAACAACATACAATTATTTAGAAGACCATCCATGTTTATGGTGATTATTTATTAATTGCACTTCTATTCTGCCTTTCTCCCAAAATTGGATACAATTTTGTATCCAAAATTGGATACAATTTTTGTATCCAAAATTGGATACAATTTTTGTATCCAAAATTGGATACAATTCTTCCCTAGGGATAAGACTCATAACTATGATTTGGTGAGAGGAGGGCAGAAGAGAGGAATAGAAGAAAAATAAACACATTTTGATATCTGTTTAATAAGAAGGAATTATGGTATAAAAAAGGAAAAACAAAAAAGATGGTAAAAGTTGTAGAGAGATCTTGTAGCACCTTTGAGACTGAAAGAAAGAAGTTAGCAGCATGAGGTTTCATAGACTGGAGTCTACCTCATGAGATGCATTTGGTCGATGTGATGCACCAAATGCATCTGAGGAAGTAGACTTAAGTCTACGAAAGCTCATGATGCCAACTTCTTTCAGTTAGTCTCAGAGGTACTACAAGATCTCTCTACATAATGATTCTACACAGCTATATCTTTGAATGGTAAAAGTTGTTAGCAAGGAAGAACACAAAAGCTAAGACTGCACCCATTTGATTTTGACTGTCTCCTGGGAAGGACATGTTCTGCCCTTCTGAGTTAACTGGGTGTGAATTACTTTTGTACTTTTCAGTTTACAGCAAATGAAGTAACTGAGGACAAAGGGAGAACATGAGAGGTGACAGGAAAGCATGGAGTATTCCCTAGCATGGAGCCAGGGTATTTAAAGTGGTCTCAAACTGGATTGTTTCTGCAGTGTTTTCTTGGCAAGACTTGTTCAGCAAGGGTTTGGGTTTCCTCCCCTCTGAGACCAAGGGTGTGTGATTTACCCAAGGTCACCCAGTGGGTTTCCATTACAAAGCAGGGATTTGAACCCTGATCTCCAAAGTCACAATCTAACACTCAAACCACTTATACCATACTGACTCTCTTGTTAAAATATTAGGAAATCAAAAATCTCTGAGGTCTATTACAGTTCACCCAGAGATGTACTAGTTGATCCTCATCCCACTTCTTCCCTAGGTCAGTCCAAAATATTTTTATAGCTAAGACAGTGCAGTATATATGAGCTTCAGCTACACATCCAAGTTAAGCTGTATCCAAACCAGCCAGACAAGTTAATTTGTCACAATACAGAAATTCTCCCTATCCCTGGCATTAAAAATACAGCATAAGTAATACTAGATATATAACTGAGCACAAAAGCTAGAATCATACAAGCCATTGTATTCCCTATTACCATGTATGGAAGTGAGAGTTGGAGAGTTAAGAAAGATGATAAAAAGAAAATCAATTCATTTGAGATGTGGTGCTGGAGAAGAATGTTGAGGACAGCCAAAAGGACAAACAAATGTGTCCTAGAGCAGATGAAGCGGGAAACCTCCCTGGAAGCCAAAATGACCAAACTGAGACTGTTGTTCTTCAGACACATTATGAGAATGAGGGACTCATTGGAAAAGACAATAATGCTGGGAAAGCTGGAGGGAAGTAAGTTTCTGGAGGGAAGTAGGAAGAGAGGAAGGCCACATGCCAGATGGATGGACTCTAGGAGGTTACAGGTATGGTTTTGCAGGAATTAAGCAGAGCAATGGAGAACAGAGGGTCTTGGAGATGCCTCATCCATAGGGTTGTCATAGGTCGAGATCAACTCGAGGGCAGTTGACAAAAACAACAAAATATAACAGTAGCAATAAAACTACCTAATGATAGGACCAGCTCTGCATCTGCCTACCTCTGAGTTAATACATCCACATAAACTTATGAAAGGATGCTGCCTTTGGAAGAATAGGGAGGGGGGTTGCAACTGGACCCTGAGCACCTGTCCCAAAGGATTTCAAACATCCCGGAGCTTGTTTTCCATTGCACCAAATCACTCCAGATGGGCTCTAATGAATCTCTTGAGAAGTAATAATATCTCTTTCTTTTGGATGATATTCTATCCCCCAGCGTATGCAGTCTGGGTTGCTTCTTATAGATTTAGCCATTCACCAGTCAGAAGATTTGTCAAGGAAATTAAAAAAAAAAAAGAATCCTCCAACTTTACTAAAAAATGAATGTGTGTGTGTTTGCACCTCTTTTCTGACTGGGATGTTTTAAAAATGAGCAAAACTATTTATGAAGGGCAAATAATAAATGAAGAAAAGAATGTGAACTAGTATGTTCAAATTTTAACTTTTTAAGGAAAGCTTCTTGCTTCAAAATTATGGCCTCATTTCAGCATACCAGCAGAAACAAAGAGATTTGGGACTTTCAGACTATGATGTTAAATAGCAAGCAATATAGGCAGTTGACAAAACCTGTAAACACATCTATGAATCAAAGACATAATGGAAACACAATAATGAGTGATCTGCCTACCCCAAGGGGTAATTCAGTCAGTGTAGTGTTCTCCTTTTTGAAAACAGATTATCATTAAAAAATAATAATTTTAAATATTCTAAATGAATGGCATATTTGGTGGGAACATTCCATCAGACTATTTAAATGGACAGATTTAAGCATGTGCTTCATTTTTCTTTTGAAAAATTGGAAAGAGAAATCCTATGAAGTTTTGAGAGCTATAGGAAGCCTATCTAGCCAGGGGTACCAGACAGAAAATTGGGAAAGGGGTTCTGTACATTTAATGGTCGTGTAGAAGAGGGAATTTCAGCAGGTGTTGCTTGTCACACAACCAGGTAACAAGCAACATTTGCAGAAATTTCCTCTTCTACACTCTACTGGAATTAATGTGTGAAAATGTAGTGATTTTTATTCCCCCAAACTCCAGGCATCACTGTTGCCATGATTTCATGGAATTCAAAGCAGGTTTTGAGTCCAAGATTGAAGAGTTTTATCCAAATATTGTAATGGCACAATATGTGACCTTGCAATTGATTCAAAAATGTGAAACTTAAACCACAGGGTGTGAAAGAGATTAGAATCATATCATAAAGTGCAGAGCAGCTTGAAATCATGCCCATCATTAAGCAATATAAATTGATTACTGCCAATATATCTTCAGGCTTAACGATAATTTCTAGTTAGCTCATGCATTGCATTGAGCCAGGCTTTATCATAATATAATTTGATAAAATAATCATAATAAATGAATAGAAAATTGAAAGTTAGTGTGCAAACACAGCCTATCTTTTGCCTTCCAAAAAAAAAAGTTACCAATGAAATGTTTTATGGATTAATTAAAGCTGAGCTTGATATCCTCTCAGACTCACTG